GTAAAAAGTTTAAGTTCTTACACACTAGCTCCTTTGTTAAAGTTGAGTACACCAGAGAAGGCAAACATTTGTGTGAGTATGTGTGTGTGATTTTTCAAGTAGAAAAATAGTAAGGAGCATGACTTTCCATACTGCACCCAGGAATTCATTTGCTGAATCAAAAATAAAAGCTCAAAAAACATTTGATTAAAATAATAACTCATTAGCATCTCTGTGAAACATTTAATAACTAATGTCAATAAAATCTCTAAAACTGTCTATTCATTCTATTAAATATATGGTGGCATTAAATGAAACAATCTCACAAAGGAAAGGAGAAGCAAGACAGGGAATGAGGGAAGAGGGACAACTAAACTGTGTACTCCTTGTTCTAAAGTTTTATAATCTAGGCCCCAATGTGTCAATGCCCACCTACTTATCCTCAGTAATTTAGTACAACTCATTTCCTTCGTCTGGCCCACATATTTTCATCTGGAAAATGAGTACAACAGTCTGAATTAGTAGGTTTTTTATCCTTTCTACCAAGATCCTTTTTTAAAATATCAATCAACTCCATATACTATAGTTTCCTACATGGGAACTGTCCTTTCAATACCTGTTGGTGTGAAAAAAAAATACAGACAACATTTATGTCCATTTGAAAAAATGTGTTTATTTATTCAAGAAAGGATTTCACAACTGCATATAGCAAAAAACTGATTTTTTTTTCTTAAGAAGCATTTTTGTTGTTCATATGAATTTAGAGAATTCTTTACAATAACTCCATGTATTCAAACCACACTGTGTCTCCACACGCTGTGGGGCATTTTTATTATGGAACTACCCTCACACAATATATGGCACACAGCAGATAGTTGTTACTATTTTAAAAAATCTGTACCTAGATTCCTTCCAACTCCCAAATTGTGTGAAATGGCTTTGCACTTAAAACAAGATTAACTTCTTTAGTCAGTTATAATAGAGATTACTTTCAACCCAGAAGAGAAAGAAATTACTTTAAAAAATTTTTCTATTCTGTATATACCTATGTTGGATGAATTCTATTCACAAGACATACCTAATAAAAAATGCATCAGTACAAATAGAATCAAGTCTTTATAAATTTAATACTAGCATTAATGATACGTGATCCACATGGCTAAAGGCATTATCTCTGCTCTTTAATAGCCTGTATTACTCTAAAAATGATATGAAATAATTACGTTAGAGATAAGATTTCTAAACCAACAGAAAATGTGTAACACTATATTCACTCATTCTCATATTTTTATGTTTACTGAATGTTTTCTGGCTACATGAAAGATATGAAGCCAGAGGAGAATCTAACTAGACAAGACACCCCAAGGAGATCCAGCCAGGGTTTCATTTTAAAACAATAAAAACTCCCGTGGAATTTTGAGGAAAAGGGAAAGTCAATCGGCTCTGACACTTTAGCTAAAGTACATCTCATAAATATTGAGATCACATTAGATTCCTAATGTGCAGATAGTAAGCCTTTGATCTCTGGAATTACTAGGTTAACTGGCATCATTTGGTATCTTTTCCCTTTAAATTCTGGATTTATGCCATTAATTTACTCCATTATGCCAGTGGGTATCTGGAGTCTAAAATTAATCACTGCTTTCTAGGTGGCTTTCCTTTTTTAGATCTTTCTAAAAATGTATTAAATTTCATCTAACACTAACAAAAGGTTTTTCTTGTAGAATAGCTGGTAGCTACCTGTACATCAAGACAAAAGTCACTCCGGGTACAATGATTTTAGGTGATGCACATACACATACACAGTTCACTAACTTTGGAAATGGTAAGACTTTCAAGTTGAACAAGAATACAAAGTAAAACGTAAAATTTGGGGAACTGGGGAATTGAAAAAAAAGGCTGACACTAGGAGGAGATGAGGATTGGAATGCATGTGCTAAGTGGCTAGAAGTGGAAAAATATTTCAGAAGGTGACAAAATGGAAAGGGGTTTAGAACGGTTTCAACGAACTAGCTCAGACCAAAACTTCGTGACAATATAAAATCTTGGTTAAACTGGAGAAATGGTAAAATTACAATGACACACTGATATGTGGGCAATTCAAATTAAGGAGAACATGAAGAAAGTAAAGTGGAAAATTGTGACTTATGTTTCAAAAAGAAAATTCAGTGAAGAAGCTCAAGTTGCCAAAAAATATCTAACTTTTAACAACTGATTAAATGTCCTCGTTTTTAGAAAGAAAACATTTTCAGCTCTGAATTTTAAACTAAGAAACTTTTAGAATACTGCCAGAAGCCTAAAATTTGTAATTATATATTGCTTTTCAGTTACAGATCTAATAATTTCAAAAAGTTATCAAATATTTCAAATCTTATTTCATTGAATCTCAAATATTTCAGAAGAAATAAAGCATTATTCCTCAATATTAGCAGTAGTATTTTCCATTACGAAAAATATACAGATGTTGTAAATGGTTTAGCCCAAAAATGATACATGTTGACATTTGGTTGACTCACTTTGTTTCACCTATATATGAAATCAAATGTCTCTTTCTGTCTTAGTTTTAAGTGAGATAACCCAAGATATAAATATTACCATAGTTGTATGTGTGCCTGTTTTTAAAAAAGGTCTGTCCAAATGATGAATATCTTTGACTTCCTTAAAAACTAGGGAGACAAGCAGGGGATTTTAATCTAACAAAGAAGATTCTCAAATACACCCTTACCCTTGTGTCAGTTGCTACCCATTACCTGTGTTGAGATGTCACAGGGTACCCCACCCACCCCTAAAGGACGCGCAGGAGGAAGGGGTACGCGTTCACTAAATTTATTATTGTTCTCAGTCGCAACTGGAATCTATCCCACAGTGCTAAGTGTAATACTATATAAACCTACCAAAGGTTTCAAGTGGAGGACGCAGGATTTTTTTTTTTAAATGAGGTTCAAAAATCAGAGCCAGAATATTAAACAAATTACAACTAAACCTCCACAAGCATGGTTGGAGTTTCACTATTACAACAGTCTCATGTTGTGCACGTTTTACTCCACTGTGGGGACCAGTTTTATTGTCTTTAATTAGGGTAAAGATACTGTTGGGGAGTAAATGGACCATAATTAAGTGATATATTAGAAAAAGAGATAATGTATTTCCCAGATCAAAAACATTAAGATGTTCCTACCACAATACATCATTTCCTTTGATCTTACAGCCAGAAGAGTCAGATGCTTGCAAGGACACTGATCTCAACAATTTCTGTCCCCCTTCAAAATCAATAAATATTAAATTCTAACTTAACAAAGAAACATGAAAGACCTACATTACATTTCCTTATCACTTTATCAAATTATGGAAACAGGATTGCCAAACACCATGTTACGCAAAATGAAAGCCAACGTGCATTTTTAGATGGAAAGCATTTATAGAATTCCTTAAGAAACAGCATTCTAGCATAAATTATTCATGTCTTGGTAAGAAATCAGAAGAACTAATGATAAATGTATATACAGAAAGTTAATTTATACCTTTTCCCCAAGTAACCAAAAGGTTAGGTGGCTATACTCCAAATCATAGCACTGTATATATGGTTAATACTTTACATGACTGGATTGGTTTGCACTACAATTATCATTCCACTCAACACCCACCCCTGAGGAAGCACTACCTAAGGTCACTTTTTTAAAAAGAGTCAAACCAGGGCCGGGGATTTAGCTCAGTGGTACCGCTGCCTGCCTCATATGCAGAAGGACCCCAGTTCGATCCCCGGTACCAAAAAAAAGAAAAAAAAGAGACAAACCACCAATAAACAAGCACAAGACTCATACCCAAAAGCAAGAGACAACCAGACAATCTCTAGAACTATGATTTTCAAAGTACTGATCTACACTTTTTATCACTCAGGCTTCTTAAGGCGAAAAGAATAATAAACCTGTGAATTCCACAGACTTCACCAAGGCCGAGCTAGGAAGGAAATGGTGGGAAAATACTAATGCTAAGTAAGATCTTAGGCCTTAGGGTGTTAGAATACCCTCCTGGGACAACAGGTCAAACTCAGCCCCATTAAAAATTCTACCTAAAATCGATGACTACCAGTCACTGATCTCCTGGTGTTCGGAACTCTGGGAAGGAATGAAGACGAGCAGTCCCTAATTTCTTGAGACTTCTGGGTTGGCCTAAACAAAATCATGAGTTAGATAAAGCTCAACGAAATGCAAAGTTCCAAAGAGGCAAAACTCTTATTGTCAATCTCACATTCCCCAGACATCTCAGGCCACAGTATTCCCATGAAACATGTAACATCAACAAAGGTATTCTTTGCAAACTCTTGCAACTTCTGAGCTCGCAACAGCGCTCCGCAACTCCAATGTTTCCTAGCACCAAAAATTGCCAAACGTAAGTAAAGATGAAGGTGATCCGGCACCAAGCTACTTCCAGTTAAATCAGCTTAGCCAGCATTTCTGAATCTTTGATATTTTTTCTAGATATCAACATATAATATAGGCAGCCACGGGGGGACATTTACCTAGCCCTCCACTCTCCTCACCCACTGTTCTTTTTTGTAAGGAAACGCTCATAGCGGCTTCCCGTCCGTCTCTCAAGGCAATGCCAAACCTAAACTTTCAAACCTTAAGCAACGTGGTTAAAGTCAGCCAGCCAGATACAGGGCAGGGGAAAATAGGAAGAGAAAGAGGCAAAGAGTCATGTTTCAAAACAAAGGCTGCACAAGGAATCGAACGTCAACCCCTCCCCACTTCCCAAAAGCCTTTAGGTCAGCTAAGCTCAGCTCCGATTTCCAAGAACAAGTGGATTTACGCGGCTCTTCAGCGTTCACTAAGGCCTTGTCATTCACAAAAACCATCCGCACAGCCGCTGGCGGGGAGCGGGGTCCTATCCTGCCCCGACCCCTTCCTTCCCCAGCAAAGCCCGGCTCGGAGCGCGAGGGCCCCGCCAGCGCCAGGCCGGGCGAGCCGAGGCCCCAGGGCCCGAAGGGCGGCGCCCCCCGGGGGACGGAGGCCCGGCCCTACCTTCCTTCACGCCGGGCAGCTTGGACTGGTCGATGCCGACTTCAGCCATGTTGGGCCGGGGAGCGGCCCGGAGCGCGGAGGCAGCGACGCCCGAGAAGTCTGACGGGCAAAGCGCGCGGGCAGGCGGGAGAGGACCGGCAAGGGCGGCGGCGGCGGACGGTCCGGGGCACCAGGCTGGCGGCCCAGCTGCCCCGCCGCAACCACCTGCTCGCTCCGCTCCCTGGCCCCGATCGATACCAAATACCCGCAGCCCGGAAATGGACCCGGGAGGTCCAGTACGGAGGGAGAGAGGAGACAGAAAGGCAGACAGGCGGGCGGGCCTGGGTGGGGCCGGGGAGGGAGCGGCAGGTCTGTAACCCCAGGCGCTGTGGCGGCGAGCACGGCCGGGCTTCCGCCGTCTGCTCTCGTCTCCTTTGTACTCCGGGAAGCTCCCGAGGCTTGGCCCCTGCTGCACAGCCTCCCCTCGGGCCAGGCCTCCCTCCCGCCTGAGGGTCGCGTGGTGAGCTGGGGGCTCTGTGTCCCAGAGGCCCGGCCCGACCGAAAGGTCACCCGAGGATAATCGTTCCGGTCAGCCGTGTAGGTATTTTGTGGTCTCCTGGGTTTAAGATTTCCCCAGGATGCTTACTTACAGAGTGCTTGTCTCTCAGGCACTCTTTATGCCCTGGGGAGAAGAGGGATAATATATGAGCATTAAAAATAAACAATACAACACACAACAGAAAGAGCTGTTGATAAAAATCCTGGACCAATTTAAAGAAGAGCATGTTCACAGCCACCAGCTGGGGGAACTGAGACATTCATTCATCAAAAACACATGAGTGTCTGGCAATTGATGTTAAGTACTGGGGGTGATAAAGATGTGTCAGACTTTTCGTTGTTGTAGCGTGGCACACACTGAACCATAATTACAAAGTTTCTATTTTCCTGAACTAGGCAACTTCTCTTCCTATTACGGGGAAATCTCTTTTACCCCTCTCAGAAGTGTGTTCCTGTCCTCAATTTATGTAATGATAGAACCTCAACACCACCACCAGTCTTACCCGTTCCCCACCCATCCATATTCATCAAAGGCGGATGCGTGACCTAGACAGGTCAAGCAGAATACATAAAGAGGGACCGTTAAGTATTCTGTTTCCTGTGGGAAAGGTCTGCCCTCACCAGTACACAATAAAGCCAAACTGAGGACAAGCGAAGATAAGAGAAACAGACTTAGAGAGGGCGAGTACAGAGGGCAACAATGTAGCAAACCAAGATAATCCCCCGAGCAGCTGGGGTTTCTTTAGCTCCAGCCTTCTCTCAATGTATCCTGTTTCATTTAAGCAAGTAAAAGTTGTTTTCTGTCACATCTCAAGAGTGTCAGTATAAACGACCAGGAAGGGAAGATTCATTTTAAATTGACATTGAAAAATAGGCTGTTCAGGCATGCAAAATTTGGGGAGAAGACTTCCTACACCAGACGGTGGCAAACTATGTCCCACACTCCAAATCCAGCCTGTTGAATTCGAATGAGTGGTTTATACGTGTTAAAATTATTTGATTGTAAACGATCTTATAAATGTGATATATTTTCATTTTTACCTCTTAAGCCCAAAGTCTAAAATACTTCCTTTTTGACTTTTTACAGAAAACACTTATCCATCCCTCTGCTAGGCAAATAGAAAACTTAGTAAGTTATAAGGAGATAATATTAGAAAGGTAGGTTTATGGGGATTTTTCATTGTCCTGACAGCTATTGATTTTTTTTTAACTTCCTGTACTTATAGAAAATATAATTATAATATTTTCTGTCCCCCCTCCCCAAATGTATTGTTTCTATTTCTCTACCAAGCTCTTCCCTGACAGGCTGGCATCTATGGATATATACCGGGGCCCCTTAGCTTTGTGGCTTCCTGTTGAGTTTGACCAGCAAGTATTGGCAAAAGATCATGAAGAGAGAAACAGCAAAGTAGGTATTGCATACCTCTGTGCCTAAGCTAAACCAAAACTTATCCGCAGTGATATTCTTCCATAACTACCATCTAGAAGCCTCTTTTCCATGGCTTCAGCCCTCATGAGTCTCTAACGATACCATTTCTTTCCAGTGATTCTTTAGGCCTAGGCTGATAATGGCTCTCTGCTGTTGCTAGTTCCCTTAACCCTGCTAACATCTCTGTAGAGTCCCTCCTTAGATTCTTTCCATGTAAGCCATTTTGATTGTGACTTGTTTCCTGTCTAGACTTTGACTGATACGTGAGGTATTTCGAAAGGTCACTGTTTTGCCTTCCTTAAAAATGTCCGCATTTCTGGCTTAGAGAAAAATGAAAACACATATAAAAGCCATGCCTATTGTTTAGGGAATCAGCTATTTTCAACAGAAAAATAAATGAAAAGGACCCAGGAGTCCCATCCATTTTCTAAAACTGATGATTTGGAAGTTCCCTACGCAGCTGAGCTTTTCTTTTTTTTTTTCTTTTTCTTTTTTTTTTTTTCTCTTGGTACCAGGGATGGAACTCGGTACCTTGCACTCTCTTTCTGCCCCAAATCTGAACAAACAATAAAGTTCAGGGTTTCCAACAGAGGACTTAAGCAACGTGGTAATAGCTAAATCTTTTGATAATTTACTAGGGAATGGTGATATGGTGATACCCTCTAATTTAATGTCCAGAAATGTCAATTTTGAAATCAAAAGAATTAAGGGCAGGCTTTGCAGACGGAGTACAAATCCCTAATTTGAAGTATATCCCAAACAAGTTATACATGACCAAGTCACATCTTAGATATATAAATTTTTTATTTATAAACCAATATGGAGCCATTAATTTATTTTTAAAGATATGATAGATTTTCTACTTTAAGGTTAATTTGGGAATAATAAAAAATGTGGCTTGAGATGTGGAGACTTTGGTCATAAGAACCCCAGTTGGAAAATTTATAAAATGCACAGAGACAACCACAAGTTGGAGCCACTAGAGAGTAAGTTCCATGAGGGAAGGGATTTTATATGTTTTATTCACTACTATCTTTACTACGTAGAATAGAATTTAAAACATAATAGTTACCCAGCAAACTTTTTTAAATAAATGAATATAGTTATCTAACTGTATAATCACAAATTTAAAAAAAATAAGCTAAGCCTGGAAATGTTGCTCAGTAGAGGAAGAAGAGAGAGCGAGAGAACTAAAAAAAGGCTGTATAGGCAGATGAATAAAAGACACAGACTTTGACAACATAAGCAAAAGGATCCCCATAGTTAAACAACAGCTGAAGAGAATCCTCCCTCCTCTTCACCACCAATCTTTCCTACCTCATTAACACAATCTAAGGCAGCAGTTCCAAAGCAGAGTCTGTAATTAGAACAGTGCACCACCTACTCCAAGGAGCCTGAGTTACTTTTCCAGGGCTGCCATTATAAAATGCCACAGACAAGATTAGTTAAGCATAGAAATTTATTGTTTAAAGTTCTGGAGCATAGCAGTTCAGAATCAAGGTGTCAAAAAATTCAGGGTTTTTTTTCCTGAAGTATTTGTCTCCTAAACTTGGATTTGTCTGCCTTCTTCGTGCATCCTCATTTTTTTCTCTGTGTGTCCAAATTTTTTCCTTTTGTAAGGATACTAGTCAAATTTGGGTTAGATCCCACCCTAATGGCCTCATTTTGTTGTTGTTGTTGTTTTTGGTCCTGGGGATCGAACTCGGGACCTTGAGCTTTCAAGGCAGGCAGCGGAACCACTGAGCTAAATCCTCAGCCCTCCTAATGTCCTCATTTTAATTTATTCTCCTTTTGAAGGAGGTTAACACTCTATCTCCAAATATTCTATCTCCTAACATTCAGAAATACTTGGGGTTAGGGTTTCAGCACATCTCTTTTGAGGGGACAAACTTTAGCTTGTAACAGAGACTATCAGATTAACAACTGCACTGAAGATGTACTTATGTCTGCTCCAGGTCTCGAAGCATTTTCATTTGGACCTTCATTTTATGTGGAAGCTTAATAACCTTAGGAGACTCCTGAATGTCCCCAGTTGCCCAGGATCCTTCACCCTGTCCAATAAAATGGTTTGTTATCCACAAAATCCTCTGACTCTCCTCTATAAGTCTTTCCTTTTCCTTCTTTCCCTACCAAAACCTGGTTTTTACATGAAGATAAGTGATTCTCCAGAAGCCCTCCAAATTAGAGGCTATTTCTTCTTGTACACACAGTGTGCTCCACTAGACCTAGAGATGCCTTGATCATTTTCTGTTTGTCTTACTACCTCTTCTAGAACCTATTTAGATTAGTCCACTTTTCATTGCTGTGACAAAAATACTTGACATTGAAGCAGAAAAACAAGTCCTTCCCACCCTCATGCAGTTCCCCCGCCCTTAACCTCTCCCTTGTAATTGTAACTCCTTGTTTTGGTACAGATAAAATTAATAACTATGTCCTTTAAACAAATTTTATGACACTGTGTTCTCATATGATTCGGAAGACACTGTCTTCTTTCAAAGGAAAGTTACAAAACTGTCTGTCCTTGTCCTCTTCCAGTAAACTCACTTGTTATGTCACTAGGAAATCCACCCCCTTTGACAAAATGTATAAAAGCTGGAACTTCTCTTTGTTCAGCACTCAGCCATTTTGGACACAGAGTTCACTGAGCCAGTGTATACATGTTAAATAAATCCTCCTGATTCCTATTTGGTCTCTCCTGTCTCTTAGAATTCTGCAACAACATAAACAGCTTAAAGGAAGAAAGGTTTATTTTGGTTCACACTTTCAAAGGTTTCTGTCTATGGTCAGCCAGTTTCATTGATTTAGGCTTTCATTGATGAGGCAAAACCATCATGACAGAAGGAAGCTGCTCACCTCATGGCAACCAGGAAGCAGAGTTTGAGGTTAGTGCCAGAGAAGAGGGACCAGGGACAAGATATTAGTACCTAAGGTCAGGCCAACATGACCCATTTCCTTTATTTCTACTTGCACTGCAATATCACAATCCTGATTAGTATGCTATAAATTATACACATAGCCCAGATCAATTAATTTCCTATTTCCTAAGGCTCCAGTTGCACATCTTTTCTTTAACCTACGAGGTCATTTGGTCTTCTTTACTTTTAGCCTCTTAGGTTGCTAAGAAAGTGAAAGCACTGAAAAGACGACTTCCATGTCTTACCTTTTCCAAATCTATTACCCTATACATTTAAGACCAACATTTCTACTGGACACTTCATCCTGTGGTAATATTAAAACATTTAACACAGAAGAGAACTGCTGAAGCACAAACATCACATCAGGCAGATTGATGTTCTAGTTGTTATTCTCTGTTTCAGGATGGTGGGCTAGGGAATCCAAAGGAGAAGAAATGTAGTGTAGGTGACATTGGGACATTTAGGGTGATCTGAACAGCAGTGATTTACAAACTAGCCTGAATGTATCTGCTGTGGTTTGAATGTCCCCTCCAAAACATGTTCAAATATAATTGTCAATGTCATAGTGTTGGGAGGTGAGGCCTTTAAGAAGTAATAGTGCCATAAAGGCTCTACCTTCTTGAATGAGTCCAG